AGGGACTTGAGCATTCACAGATTTTGGTGTCAATTCCAGGGTCCTGGAACCAGTCCCCTGATTGTACTTTGGTCAGTGATCCTTAAAGTTGGCTTTGTTACAACAACCGGAATTTTTTTTGTTTTTTAATATATAAAATGGTTTTGCCCATGAATTCTAAAACACAAGACATTTTTAGAGAGTGTCTATAGTTGTAAAACCAAATTAGTTTTGATAGATACAGTTAGTAGAGTGATCGTTTGTTCTGCTAGAGTGATCATTTATTCTATGCTCTTTTTGTTAAAATTTGCTCTTAGAAATAACTGGGCACAGTTAAGCTATGTGACTTATCTGAAATTATTAAATCATGTCACAGCTAGACCGCTTTGCTGAATTAACTAAAAGTTGAAAACCAAAAAGCAGTCTACCAAGTTGAGACACAACTAAGTGGTCTATAAATTAATGATACCTGATATTCTATGAAAGGTTGGAATCTTATTCAACAATTAAATGACAGCCTGATTACTAGAAATAGTTCTAAAGAAAATGACACGTTTCTCTCTAAGCTAGGAAGTGATAATATATATTCCCAGTATTCTGAATATATACATTGATAGATTTTACCATCATTATTAATTTAGATTAGTAAAATTTTTTTTCTCTGTGCATGTATTATTTTTCCATGCCAACTAGCTGCTGCAAAATGTATCTTTTTAATTCCCCATTTGGTATATTACCATGCAACTATCCATATACTCTAGGAAAATTATTTACAAAAAAATATATTTATCCCAGGTTCAATAGAACACTAGACTCAGAAGACATCAGGCTTTCTTGAAGAGGGGTTAGGCTATGATTCCTAGCAACAAATGAACAGAAATGGTTCTGTGATCTTTTCTTGCTTACTGCTCAGTGGAAATAACTATGGATAAGTGGATATTTTTTCTCTTTATCTTTGCCCAGTCATTCTGCTGTCTTTGCTAAGCTCCAATATTTTATTTTTGTTTGGCATGATGTTGGAATACTAGACATATCAGTGTAGGATTTTTTCTTTAGGAATTTGTAGATATGCAGCATACATTCTTTTTTTCGGCCCCAGGCAAACACTATTTCTCTGATATTTTGAGGCCAAGAGAGTGGCATAAAACTTTAATTTTGCTCCTAAGTTTTTATATTATATCATATTATAATCATGTATCATATCATTGCTTCATTTATAATTAAATACCTATAGATACACGCACATATACAATGATGCCAAATGCCAATGTCT